GGGAGGGAGGGAGGGAGGGAGGAAAAGCTCTCCTAGATAGCAATGCTGTCTCTCTAGACCGGATACTAGCACAGCAGACAACATAGCCATGGACTTCAAGAAGAGGAAGTGCTAGGTTGTGCCCTAGTCTGATTTTAGGCAGGCAGGAAGGCCTCTTGGAGTGGAATAAGCTGACACCATTCACTAGCTGGTCATGTGAGATTCACAAGAGAGAGAAGTGGAGATGTTAGAAGTTAAGATTTCTTGAAAGGAAGCCTTGCTTTTAACTCTATATTCATCAGATAACCACACTGGGAGGCAGAGTATCATGAAGAATGAAAGAAGATAATTTTCTTAAGGGAAAATTAATCATTATTAATTAATCATTATTAATTTAGCAATTGAAGCAATTGAATACAACTTCCTGTCTATGTGCACAAATACTTAAACAGGCAGAAATTTGTTTGTTGAGTTTAGTTTTAAGTACTTCGCAATTAATTTCTATAAACTTTTCCACATTAAATCAAGGGGTTTTAGTAACAACCATAATGTACTTTGGAATTAATTTCTTTAAATTTTTCCACGTTAAATGAAGGGGTCTTAACAATAACCATAATGTATATGCAGAGGACCTAGTGCAGACCCATGCAGACTCTGTGACTGCCGCTTTAGTCTCTGTGAGCCTCTATGAGCTCTGCTTAGTTGATTCTGTGGGCTGAGTTCTTGTGCTCCTCCGGCTCCTACAATTCCCAGCCCCTTCCACGGGGTTCTCCGTGCTCCAGGGAGAGGGACCCGGTGGAGATCTCCAATTTGGGCTCTATTAACCTTATGATTGTCTGTGGGTCTATGCACCTGTTCCTATCAGCTGCCCAAGGAAGCCCAATTGAGTACTTTAAATTAAGATAGGTTTGCATACTTTTTAGATATAATCTATAATCTATGAACTGGGAAAGCAAAAATATCCCCATGATTCACTTTGCTATTATCTTCGCTTTTATTGCAGTGGTCTGGAGCAGAGAATACAAGGTTTACAAGTTAAGCCTACAGTATACAGACCCAGACTCTTTTCCAAAGATACAGAACACAAACAGAATGTAAGATATCTTCACTTTATGACCAAGAGACTCTGTGGCCACATCCTTCACTATTGTTTTAAACTGATATGAAAAACTGAGGCTCCCTCTACTGAGAATTCCCTAAAGTGTAAAAGTATGTTAGAGTCTGTTTTGGGCCTGAGAGCTATTTCTATGGATGTTTCTATCTAGTGCTTTGCACATCATAGTAAAGAGAAAGCCCACACGTGCAAGACTCTGCTACAGAATTTTAAAGAGATTGTACCTTTTCCATTAATGACCAAACATAAACGTCTGTAAGGTAAGATCAATATTCTAACTTTGGCTTCGTATGTTATCAGTCTTTCTCTAGGAAAGTCACTTTCAGTGTTTTTAAAAAAATTTTTATTTAGCATACAAAATAATGAATTTTAGTTATGACATTTTCATCCACTGACATCACTGTATCCTAATTCTATTTTCCCTCCCACTCCTCTTTACTGTTCATCTGATGAGACCAGGAGACGGGGATTGGCGGAACAGTTTATAGGCATTCGAGGAAAGTCCTTGGTTCTCTGGCAGAGAATGTCTAAAGGGAATTATCTCCTTGTAAACCAGCACCCAACCTGGAAGCAATACTTGGGGTTGGGGCTGAAAGTCCAGTCCAAGCATTAATTCCCTCTAATGAAGCTTTAGAATCGGATATGTAGATTTTCACAGTAAAAATGCTTTATATATTTAGTGCCTGACTTTATCCTGTCACCTAACTGATTAAAGGGTTACCTCTTCAGAGGGGGAATGCTACAGAAGTCTTTATTGGTATTCTGCTGAGTTTCGGTGCTGCTCTACTGAGTCTTCTTAAGACAAATGTATTTCAATGGCCTGGGTGAAGACCCAACATTCCAAGCTACCCAAAACACGAGAGTTAATGCAGTTGGGCTGGTCAGTCTGCAGGCTCACTGACCATACTTGGAAAGGGTGATTTACCTTAAGGGATGGTAAAGAGATGGGAAGAATAATTATCCCTTTATTGAGATAACATGCCTTTCTCACACCTCTGATGAGGTTTTTATAGAGTGAGCCTCCAAGAGGCTTTGTTACCTGTCCACCTTTCTGAATCTGGCTTCAGAGAGGTGTAACTTTTCCTTTTTATTCTTTTCTCTCTCTTTCTTTAGGATATTGGACAGAGCATACATGTCTTTCCCCTCTATTTCTCAGAAGCCACCCCAAATCATCCACCATGTGGCTGCCTCCAAATGTCTTGATTTCCTCCTCCCCATCTCCTTCCTCTGGATAGCTCTTGACTTTTGAAGCTTGCTTCTCTTAGGCTTTTTTTTCCTTTAAGTTCTTTCTTCAGAATTGTTCTTCTGAGTCAATTATTAAGTTATGTTATTAATAAGCCTAAGAACTCAAAAAAGGTGCGCCACAAATTCCTTGGTAACATATGGTATCCTTGGTGAAACTCTTTAGAATTTCCATGTACATCTCCAAACCCCACTACTGGTCTTTTTCTCCCAGACAGTCCTGTGCCCTGTGCCCTGTGCCCTGTGCCCTGTGCCCTGTGCCCTGTGCCCTGTGCCCTGTGCCCTGAGCCTTGTGCCCTCTCTTTCTCCCTCACTCATTCTCTCTTTCTCTCTTCTCCTCCCTCCCTCATATGCGCACATGCTTAAATACGAACTCTGCATATGAGAGAAGACTTGATATTTTCTGTTTCCCCTTACTACCTTTTATTGTTCTCCCTTCTCCCATCCTCTTAAACCTCTCCCTCCTTCTACACAGTTCCCCTTTTACATGTACATTCATGTTTAAATCTAGAGTCTGAGTATCAGGGGAAACAGGTTATTTGTCTTTCTGATCTGGATGATATCATTTTATATTATGATCTTCAGTCCATCCATTTCCTTGCAAATAAAATTAGAAAAGTCATTTCCTCTTGAACATCAGTTTTTCTCCATCTTTTCATGTGGTCAAAGTTACGAACTGCATAAAATACTAAGATTTATAGTTTTTGGGTTCCCTCTAGGAAACTCAAAGGGCTTGGAAGTTTTTCCATAGATTATGACAAGAAAAGTGTGGAGCAAACTGAAAAGCCAACAATCTTCTTTAGAGAAGAAAATTGAGATTACAACTTGGACTACTCCAGAAGAGCGAAAGAGCTCGGTGAATGCACAGAATCACATCTCTCCAGAGGAACAAAAGCCCCCAGAGGCAGTGCCAGGCTAGGGGCGCTTGAAGAGTCGTCAACAAATGGGTACAAGAGTGCAGAGGCTAGACCTGGAAACTCTGGCTGTGTGGAGTAGTCCTGCAGGAGCACCCGTAAGTTAGCTAGCTTTACTTTTACATATGTCACTGGGTTTTCAAGGTGACAATGAGAATTTTAAAAAAAAAGTAAACAACTTTTCTAAGACAAAC